ATATAATTTTGTGAGTCTTGATTAATTTTAACACAGGTAAAAAACTATTATGTTAAATATTAGTACATTCTTTTTTTTTTAACAGACTGACTTATAACAAACCAGTGCCGTAATAGCGAACATCATTCGTGATAGTTATAATTAAAATTCAACAGTTTGTTGTAAATCGATTTCTCGGAATCGTTGTAAAGTGTCATTGCATTCCACCGTTTATAGTTGTTACATATTTTTTCCAAATCGGTGCAAAAGGGATAAAATATATTTTTAAATAATATTGATTACCATCTCGATAGGTACCTTATCGTAATATAATATTATGATTTATAACTATTGAAAATCGCATAACCTATGTGTGGATTTGTATGCGTGACGACGAAAAATCGGAACTTGAATAGATTATTACCACAAATAAAACAAATTTTAACTATAAATATCGATGTTGTCGTGTTGAGATATTTTATTGAACTACATTTTATATACAATCGTACTACCTACTCGTATAATTATTTTTATTACATAGGTATTATAGTTTATTATTATAATAAACTGTGGTTTCTAACCTTTAATAACTTAGTTAATATTATAGTGTCAATTTAAATTTTAAGTTATGTTCCTAATTTTTCTACATTGGTTGAATGCACCCATGTGAATTCAAATACAAAATTGATATTATCATCTTTGAGGATTTTTTAATGTGGTTGAATTTCGTCAAACAATGGATTAATAAATTGCATTAACTCACTCGAGTTTAGTCTCAATAACTGATAATACGTAATTTTACATTAATTTACTGTTTTTTTCTGAGTCAATATGACTTTAATTTGAAGTTGCAAATACCGCTTTCTAATATTTTAGTATGACCATTTATAACCCAGTGTCTTTTTTATCTAATAAACCTTACGGATTAAATATAGGTATTTCGTACCTATAAGGGTTATATAGAAGCGATAACTAAGTGTAGCCATCAAATAGTTTTAAGTGACAGCTTAGAAATCATATATTTTTGGAGTAATTGACATATTGACTCTTTATTCTACCTCCATGCTCAATAAGTGACTTTTCAATCAACACAGATATTTATAATGAAAAAAACATACATGAAATCTATAAAAATCCATTGTATCTATAATATTATTTTAATTTAATAGCTTATAACAAAGTGGTTACTCAACCGGAGACAAAGCAGTTCAAACATTATATAATGATTGTTGGTTTTTGCTCTTGGGGTACCTACTTGTGTAACGTATGTATTATGTACCCTTAAAATTAAATATGAATTTTAATTCAAAAACTCTACACAAATTTTTCATATTTTTGTATCTAATAAATAACAACGCTTATTGTTACAAATGAATTGTAATGTTTCTATGATACACCTGATAAATTATGCATAGTCTATGATTCCTACATGAAATATTTTTAAATCGTATTTGTCTGCAGCAACGTGGCTTTAATATACTCTAACGCTAAAAAGTACGGAATCATTGAAAGTTGCGATAATGCATCGATGCATAAAGTTAATTATGTGAACTTACTTTGAACGCAGTAAATACTAAATTCCAATCATAATAAATTATAATAATAACCATAATGAATAATGTCAACTACAACGTAACTTCAGTAAAGTATTGTTAAAATTTGAATATTATACAACTGAGTTTATCATTAATTTTAAGTTCAAATGTTGAAAAAATTTGTCACAACCACGGAAATTGGCAAATTATGTTGTAGGTTTGGTAAAAGTGTCAAAACACTTTGTAATACTAAAGCTCCAGGTAGGACATTGGCTTGCACAATGTAATACCAGTAAACATTTTGGGATAACATTTTGACAAAATTGGATATTCCAAAAATGAACGATTTTTTATTCTCTTTAAATTAGAAACATTATTTGTAGGAACTTGAAACTTATAAGCTGACCGTCGATAGACCACTTAGTTTCTGCAGTCAGGAATCGTGTTTTGTATACATAGAACGATTTAGCATTGATTTCAAATTAATTAACACATATATATTACAGGCGACTTACTCAATGACGATGGGTGCTCGATACCTCATAGCTATTACAAAGTAGAGTGACTACTCCAGTTTTTTGGGGGGTTTTTGAATAATTGACATTTCTTTAGGTTAAGTAATGAAACAAATGCATCTTCATCTTGACTGCATTCAAACTCTAAAGCATTCGAATTAATAGACCAATGATGATATCGTTTATAATATTAAACATAATAAATATAACATTATTTTATTTTAATTAAAATGCATTTTAAGTTTTGTTCTGAGTTCTAAAAACGAAGACATTTGAACTTTGTGTTAATTAATATATTGTTTCAGTGATTATTGTTTGATGCATTAGGAGTACCTGTGAATATAATTAATATGTTGTCAGTTTTCATATTTTTTATTATTTGTTTCATTCACCATCACATGTAACTTATCATGGCTTATAGTACAGTACTGGGAATAAATAAAATATATAAGAACAAATTTGTATTCATTACCTAACAACGTTTAAAATAAAATCGAAAAAACAATAATTGATAAATTAATGACGACAATGTTTCGATTTTTACAATATGTACGTTTAAGTTGTTTCACATATAAGTATAACTATATGTTACGGCAGTAAATCATTCAAAATATATATATAACTATAGTCTATAATACTATAAAAAGGATATAGTAAAAAAAAAGCAAAAAACGATTCACTACAATAACATAACTTTTCTTATTATATGTATTGAATTTTCCACCAGTTGCATTTATTTCCTTTCTTGTATTATACATTTAGAAAGGGTAAAGTATGAAACCGCTCTGCTGAATATAGTACAATAAAATTAGACTGTGATGGATGTGTTAAGTTTGAAATCAATTATAAAAAATTACACAAGAAAAACAATTTTAATCGGACGTTGGCCTAATGCCTATATTATTACTAAGTATATATTATTCTCATATTATACTTATTTTGCTATTATAAATAGTATAGTAATTTATTTTAATATTATTTATTATATTTGTTTAAATAATACGGTAGAAACTTCCGTTTTATTTGATCATGAACTACTTACAGAAATATAAGTAGAAACCTTATTTTAATTTGCATGGATCATATTTTGGACTAAAAATCAGATATATTCAATGAAAATAGGGTTTATCAAAACAGGAAACAATTTTAAATGTATTCGTAGTGAAGATATTAATGGATATTTATTTATTTTAAGAACATACATGTAGCAAATTACATACATATAAGTGTGTATCCAATCAAAATATCAACAAAATCAAGTTAAAATATATAGCTAAAAGCGTAGTCAAAGTTTCGATACTTTATCGTAATACGTTAAACAGGATGTAATTAAAACTCTAGTGGAGTAGAGAATTGTGTAGAACGAGTAAGATAATTTTGGAAATCTAAAATTGATTTGCACATCATAAATCAGACGCTTACATACAGCATCTAATTAATTTATCTAGGAAATAAGACGTATAAACCACTACCATAATTGCATCTCCTATATTTATCAGATTACAATGATCAGAAACCTCCCTTCTGCTGCACCTACTGACGTAAATTACTAAGTTAGTACTTGTATCAGAAGTCTTTGGATGATCAATGCACAAGATAAAACCAACAAACTTGAGAATTACCTAAAGACTATTTAAGTTTCAAAACAATGCGAAGTGAAGTAGCGATGTTCACAACTACTCAATATATTTAGATTGTCTGCGGGAAATCCATACAACTTCAGAAAATATGACAATAATAATTACCTACGATAAAAGTCTTCACTGAAGCGTAGGTATGTATGTAAAAAATACTGGACATTAAAATTTGGTACCTATTTATACATATAGAAAAACTGTATCAAAAGTATCAAAATCGGAAAATATAGTACAAAATTTACATTTTTCAAAAATATGCATACTATAAATCAATCACAGTGTTAATTCATCCAAAAGTTGGTTATATTTTAATTAAAACTTACTTTTTTTAAAACATTTAAGCTTAACTAGTTAGTTAATTTTACGATTGACTTAAATAGTTAAAAATATCAATTGTAATACTCAGGATTTTATTGTTGATTTGAAAAATAATTTGTTAATTTAAAATTATGAAGATAGGCACACGGATAAGTATTACTTTAGAGGTACTTAAAAAAAAATTTCAATTAATGTTGTTATCAAAATTATGTTGATTCCGTTAGGTATTCGTTTAGAAAAACATTTTTTTTTCTGTTTCGTAACAATATAAAGCGTAATAAAGAGAAGGCAGTGAAACCATTACGGTAACGAGTTGTTTGAAAAGTCAATTTTTGGTAAACACAATGCATTTAACTACTATTTATAAAAAAACTGGAGGTTAATTTTTAAGTATTTGAATACGAACTATCGGGAACGTATTGCTAATAAATATATTATAATTATTACTATAGAGTTTTATCCGATCCGCAAAAAGTCGTGTATACGAAAATCATTGTATTATAATTTTTCAGAAAATTATCAAGAACTATAGATAGAAAACTGGCGAAGGTTTAAAATTGAAATAACATATGATTACCTACCTATAATCGCTATACCTGTTGACATATTATTAAGTAAGTTGTATCGTTCAATTGAAGAGTAGTTAAAATATTGATAATTTCGTTTAAGCGGCACGACAAGTTATCAACATTTAATTTTTACCGACAAGTAAAAGCTACACTATAGAGTTATGCATTAATTACTATTTAATTAAATAATTGCAACCACTGCAAAAACGTAGGACGAATCAAAGAAAGTACCAACTTTTGTTACAACGTAAGAGACGCCTGTATTATGCAAACCATAATGCAGTCTTCTCTCACCTATTTATAGTAAGCACGCATGTCTAAATCGTGATCACTAAGCGGTTTATCCTAAATACCTTGCACCCATATAGTGTGTATATCAATTTCCGATGTCGATTTTTTGTTTTTGAAAAATATTAATGACATCACGACGTCAAATAAAAATATTACCTGTTTCGAGGTACGACCAGTGCAGTATTGTAATATTGTCACGCGCACATGTGTTCCATGATATAGCGGTGATGAAAAATTGACTAGAAAATTCGAACGGAAACCGTCAACGTCGCGACTGCAAATAAAAACGTCGACCCCGCGGTCTACAGTAATATCACGGTCTAAGGTTGGGTGCGTAACGGTCACGCATACGAATAAAATATTATAAAATGTATGTGCACAACCACTCAGACTTTTAACGTCGGCGACGGCATGGCGAAGCGCTAGAGGTTCGCAACCGACCACCGAAAGCACACTACTGAAATGTGTGTACGTCAAACACGGCCCATACGCTTACGACTACCCTCCGTCAACCCCTAACGCCACCGTCCCTCCGTCGACCCCACCGCCGCCACCAGACTCGACCGTCCGGAGACTTCCCGCGACAAGGGGATAGAGTTAGGACGAACGACGGCGACGACTACATTTACAGTGTTGCCAGTTTGGTCCATCGTCAAGATCTCATAATACTATGTTTTTATCGTACGACTGTGTGATTTCGCGTGGAGTACCTACCGATGAGCACAAGTCATAATAAAAACGAGTGTTGAAACAATTCAGCATACTAACAGATGTACTACTTACACAGCCTACTCGCACTATATAATACCTCAAAACGTGGGAAGTGGCACATACGAAATCCGCTCCCCGACCACCGCAGATTTTAGTAAATTATTTTTTTTTTGACCCGTCGTACTATATATACATTATACGTACATTATATTATTATGTACGTTTGAATCGAGTAAAATAACGACAAACTGACGTGTTTACACTAAATCAGTCACTTAATCTAAAAAATATATATTTTTTTTTTAATGTTTAAAATCGAAACACATAGGTATTATAATAATATAAGAAAACAAAACAATTTATCGTAAACAATTCAAAAACTGCTTTGAACGTACAGACAGCCGTTGTTGACCTACCTACTAAAAACAGTTTAAGAACTACTCGGAAAGTACTAAACATTTAAAAACAAGAAGCAAATCACAACTATAATAATTGCTTTCATTATTTCATTTTCAAACAAACTATTATGAACATGAGTTCTACATTTCTACCCCGGTACAAAACTGTCGTGTTAATGTTGTCGACACTACATTAATTCATGTTAATATTGTAATAATATTTTTCAGTTTCCAGTTTTGTTATTATTTTATGTGTCACCTACCTAGTTATATTTTAATGTATTATACATTCTTTTCTGATCAATAAAATTCTAATAAAATTCGCAGTCTATAATGTAGTTCATAATGTTTGCCGTTCATTACGATACAATTAAGATTAAAAAATTAATTTTCTCGATACTAAATTTTAATAACACAAACACCCACGTCATTTGTACATAACAAGTTTGTAGGTTCAGACAAGCAAATCCTTCTAATTTTTGCTGTGAATACACGAAATATGTGAAGTAGTTGTTAGCCCGAGGGGTCTGTAAGGGTGAATTGAAGCGTGCGAAGATATGGTTGACATATTTTGTTTTAAGCTTTTCAATGGCCCTTGGATACGGGCGTGTGTGTTATAGTGTATAAACTTTTCATATTCAGATGACCGCCTGACAAAAAAAAAAAATAGTAAACATGTAACACGGTTATTCAAAAATGTTGTCAAAATCGATTTTACAACCACTCTGGTATACATACACGTTATTAAAAATTAAATTATGCAATAATGTTTAGATGCAATAATACAGAATTAAATTGTAAATATTTCCAAATCTATGTTTTTAATAACTAAAATTTGCTAACCATTTAATAATAGAACATATTATGAGAATTCAATATTCATTATTATTGAGCATTCGAGTGTACAGTATTTTTTTTTTTTTTTTTATAAATAACTTTTAAATTAATTGACCATTCACCACAAGTTATTTACAACTGTAATAATTCTAAACTAATAATAATATAATAAGTAGGACAAGTAGGTGCATGCCTCTAAACTCACCTGGTGGCACTGCGGGATTCTTCCTATTGTAATCTTAAAGTTCATGGTCAAATTTGTCATCAGACTAATTTATTATACCATATTTGTAAAGATTGCAAATATATTTTTTACATACATAATATTAAAAATATATACTTTTTTAAAACATAACAATAACTTTAACGTACTTGCTTAAATTATGTTATTATCTATACTAAATACTATATATTTTATTTTATTTTACTAAATATCTAACAGAGAACATATATTCAAAATGTATTGATTCAATATGTTTATTTTAAAGTGCGTTTTGACACATTTTGCATAATTTAATTGAAAATGAGTACCTAACTAGCTGTTACGTTCAAATTATAATATATAATTCAGATTGCATTAAATCATTTATGTTTAATGTATATTTCTGGTAAACAATGTTAATTTAATATACGTAAGTTGGTAAAATAATGAACACTGATGGTAATTAATTAATTAACAAATAATAACCTATACGTTTAACGAATAATTAAAAAAATGTAATGAAAAATGTAGGTACACTATAATATTTACATGTTATATAATATATCAATGATTTACATACAATGTGTGCCGTAAAGAAGTAAAAAGTTAAAAAAGTAAACAAAATTTAACGTTTTTAAAAGGAATTAACGTATAACTCCAATTTTTTTTTTAATATTCTACAAAATTCTACTTTTTTAATTTAAAAAATAAAATTTGTAGATTTATAGTTTGATCGTGTATGTTAGTTGATAATACAGTATAAAGGTTTTTTGAAAAAAAAATAACGATAAGTTTTGAGATATATCCGCAAATGTGCGGTAGGCTCGGTTTGTTTGAAAAAAACTGAATTTCCCATAACTAAAAAAATAAAAACGATAGACCCACTCTTTAAATGGTTTTTTCATAACTTGAGATATCATAGGACGCCAGCCGATATTACATTGTATGATACAAATATAAATACGTACCTACTCCCTACATATTATTATTGAAATAATTAATGTATTATAAAATCGAAGTACAAACTTATATTTTTATGAATGATGAATATATTTCAATTTGGATAAACTATGTACCGGTCTATCATAAATTGTATTTTATTTATTTCATAAATTTTAATTATTGATAAGTGTTTAAAATGGTATACAATCCAAAATTAATATTGTACACACGATGCTATACATATATGTATAGATAAAAACTAATAAAAACAATATTGAACATTTTATATTTTTAACTCACTTCGCAAATAGAAAACAATACTGTCATTTGGAGAAGAATTCCAGTCAGTCTAAGAGTCTAACGCAAAAATATCGAAATGTAATATGTTGTGTATTTATTTTAATGACAATAGATGCTACACGGTATACACATCATGTTCAATACAAGTGGTAAAAAATAAAACCTTGTTCAAGTGTGACCCAGTTTGTAAGCGGTCAAAGTTGGTAAAACAATAAAAATATATATATATATTAAATACCAATCCCTCGTACAACTATAGTTGCACACAAATAAAAATATTTATTTACAATACAAATACAAATAATAAATATTTACTTATGTAATTTTACAATTATTTTTATTCAATAAGACGTGTTTAGTCTTAGATTCCGAACGTTGTGGTGCATTTATTAGTTTTTAAATATAATGAGTATTTTTTTCTTATTTTAAAAGTTTATTTTCTTATTTTTTGTCTATTAAAATATTCGTTTGTGAGTGTAAAGCTTGATACTTCAATACAATATTAGTTCCTAAAAAGATGTTCCTATAGCAGCTATTAAAAAATATTAAAAATGCAATTAACATTTTGACAAAATCTGATATTTAAGCAAAAAATCACAATTTAAAAATGTTTTTACTATTATTCAAAAATTGTATTATTCCTAGAAATTTTAAATTTTTTTATGATACACCATTCCATAAAAAAAAAATGCTTAGATTAATGTTCCAAGTTGTAATACTGTATACAATGAACCTATTCACACTGTTCCACTAAACGCTTCACAGGAAACACAGGAATCATTTTTATATTTAAAAAACAACAAGATGAGCTTATTATACATTTTATGCATTATATTTAGGTAATAAATAAAATAACATTGTTTTTTAAACATATAATGTTGATATTATATAATATCAAATATAAGTTGAATCCTATTTAAAAATTTAATTGCATTTTTTTTTTCTGATAATGGAAAGGATGTATTGATTTTACAGTACCTACGTGTTTGTTTTTTTTCTGTATGTTATCATCTTTCGAGAGAGTAAAAACGTGTTGGTATTGAATTTTCAGTTAATAACAGCTATTATCGTTGTATGATATTGTAGTTGATTTTTTTTTTTTTGGAAAAAATTAGTTCAACTTACCACGTATTGCCAATACAAAATACAAATAGCCTTATAAAATATTTGAGTAAAATTATAGGTATCTAAATATTTTTATAGTATTTAGATGAAATATTAGAAAAGTATTGAAAATACTTCCTTGTATACATTTTTATATGAAAATCAAATACTTTTATTAAAATACTTTATCATTTTTTCTTCAATAAATTATTCATATCATTTTTTTTTCTAATCACGAGTAATTGAAATGTAGTAATTTTATAATTGATATACCAATAAAATAAACGTGAAATCGAAACGCCATTGTTTCCGTAGGATCCTATATTAATAATATTATAATAGGTATACTGTGACGTGAATTGAAACTACAAACTAACGGCTGGGTAACGGGATAATGGTTTTGTGTACATTACACATCGCATGTGTGCATTATGTTGTATTTAAATTTATTAATATATACCATTATAATAAAGGATATTAAAAATTAATTAAGAGGCCCCGGTTTATAAAACTTTCAACAATTCTTTAAAATTTGAGGATTATATTTTGTATTTTAGTTGCCTTTTGAACTAGAATACTTTTTCATTGATATATTGCCCAACAATTATTTAGGCGGGGCAGATTCTGCAGGGTATTATTTTAAAAAAAAAAATACTTAACAAGAATAATTCCCAGACCTTGTAAAATTGTTTGTTATAAATTTTGATATTAACTGTATTTTTATCCGAAAGAAGAGCACTTCCGACATGTCACATTGAACTCAGATTTTTTTATTTTACCTTTTTCAAATAATGATATAAGTAATAATAGTAATATCACTTGTAAAAAAAACCTTAAAATTCGAAGACATATAATAAAGTTTGAGATTCAACTATTAAAAAATGGAGTTCAATGCGGCCTGTAAAATATTAAACTCTATTAGTCAAAATTGTTTTTTATAAATTCGGTTTATTGTACACAACAATATTATCATTACCGTAGAGATTATTTTTATAGAGAAAATTACGTTAGCGCCGGGTGCCTTAATTAAAATATAATACACGGGCACTGTAGCAGACGGAATTCTACGAGTTCATACGAGTACGTATAGTTTAAGAATTTTTTGAACATGACGTATACAATTTGTTCACTGTCGCAAACACTATTATCTAGTTGTATACATTATTTGAACAATATCTTCATCTATATAATATATTATATATAAAAGCCAAAAATTCATTCTAGTAATTCTCAAAAAGGATAAAACGTATGAACTTGACATTTTTGAATAGTGGTTAGTCCAACGCTCTAAAATGTGCAGGAAGAAGGAATTTAAAAATAGGCGTTTTACCTCTAAATATCATGAGTCGTGGTACGAGTACTCCTCACTGTCTGGTTAACTTTATTTCGATAAATCCGATTTTATTCTTCCATTACATTACTCTTCACTTAGGATTGCATGCATTAGATGTTTGTGACAATGTATTTCATGCAAATATACATAAACTGTTGCGAAACGAGTAATGTACGCTTTCCGATAAGTACATTTTCATCAATAATGTTGTCGCGTGACTAATATAGTTAAATCCTAAATAATTGTACGGTCCACACACATAAAACGAATTCGTTCTTTGAATTACTTGCCCGCCACGTCCAAACACATCCAATTTAGTAGATTATATTATTTAGATATTGGAAGGACAATTAATTAATTAATATTGAAATATTATTTGCTTGTATAATAATATTACTAGACTGGGAGTCAAGAGTTAATCGCGGACATTTGCTTAAAATTTAAATTTAAATTTAGTTAAATTAAAAAATAATTTATCACTGGTAATACATAATGTGTAAAATAAATCTTTGACAATCTTTGATGGAACACCAAATACATACAGAATATATATATATATGGGTCACCAATTAATATTTTTGTCGGAGCCACATTAGGAAACTGACAATTATTCGTGGGTCTTCAAAATTATTACAGACTTCGGTAAAAACCAATGAACAAAAATGATGAATTCAAAATAGATTAATATACATTTTTTTTGTCTGCTGGCTTAATAAAAATGTACTGGCTGAATACAATTAGTGCTTTCGAATGTAATAAGTTATTGAGTAGAAGTAAAACGTTTGTTATTTATCATTATATGTTCTTTCACAGTTTTGAAAGTCTTAATTTCAGTGTTATATTTAAAGTGATTATTATAATATTATATTATTATATATTCTCAAATGCAAACGAATATGACGCCAATTCAAGTGTACTGCCGACTGAAGCCGTCAGTAGACTTAATAAAAGTACGCCGATATTATAATTTATAAATTAATTTTTTTATAATATATCCATTTCTTTAAATTTATAGTATCAAATCATACCAACTAAAAATCAACTAATATACTACAACAAAAGCAAATTGGAAAAATTCCAGTAAGTTTATATCACATATTAAGTGGCGCTCAACCCGTGGACAGACGTATATGTATACATTTGAAGGCCCACGATCAAATTATTTTGAAGCATTGCGTATTTTTTTTTTTTGCACTTATTTGAAGATTTAATATAGGTGTTTTATTTTTATTTGAAATGTGGCCCTCGAGCTTTATTAAAAATAATATAGTTCGCGTAATTTAAGATTATAACCAGTCAAATATTATAGAACCATTGAACCGTTTTAAATTTTGTTTATGGAACACCGTAGAACAAATCAAAATCAGGATGCGCGTAACGGACTCTAACCTCAAACCACCCGGTCATGATTTTAACTTACGCAGAGTATTATATACGAGCCTAGGGCCTCTGAAATGATCGATGACCCTCTGGTACAACGTATAAATCAGAATATATATTTTATGAATTAATATTTTTAGATTTCAAAAAGTATTCGATGACAATACAACTCAGAGTTCAATTTTCGAACATGTGGCCGTTCCGATACTAGACAAGTAAGAATATTATTATTTATTGTAATTGGTGGGGCATAAGATGTGCATCATTTTTGAACAACTGTAGAATAAAACTGTTGAACTTACAGAAATGTGGTTTGTATTTTTCGATACAACAGTGTATCTAGTTTATTTGCAGTAAGGTTTAAATATTACATATAAAAGATGGCAGCCGTCAGCAGCGATGCACTCCTGTTGACGATTTAGGATTTCGGACGATTTGATGCGATCCCTGATTCTCTCTTTAAGTTCGTCAAGAGTTTCAGGAAAGTGTTTAAACACTTTTTCCTTTAGGTATCCCCAAATGTCACGAATTCTCAAATCTGGTGAGCGGGCAGGCCACTTCACGTAACAACTCAAAGACACCAGGTGCTCTAACGTCCTAACCATGGTGGCAACTGACAATCGATAAAAATAGAAATACGAACACAATGAATCTTTCTACAAATTCTTCTCACAACCACATGCCAAGCTTAGGCCATTCAAAACCAGTAAAAATCTTATGCCCCATCTTGTATAATATTATAGACTCTAGACAGTGCCTTATAGGAAAAACCCGGGACACTAATATCTTAGCACCCATCTAAACTTACCGATTTCTCCTAAATATCTGGACATTTAATATTATTATATATTAATTATCTAAAAAATAACTCACTATGATTATTATGATGACGTACGATGATTTTTAATCAAATTTCGATCACGACAAATGCATGCCTATAAATATTATAAAATACTTAATCGAATATGTTATTTCAGGTATTTATCTGGTACGAATGGCACCATCTTTGCATATGGACAGGTGATGATTATTTTTTGTTGTATTGAAATGATTTTTATCAACACATATTACTAACTGATTTTATTTTATAGACTGGTAGTGGTAAATCCCACACTATTTATGGATCCCGAGAAGACGAAGGTATAATTCCAAGATCTTTGAAATACTTATTTGACAATAAGTTATCAATTCAATCCACAGACGGTAATTATTATATTATTGCATTTAAATATTATTTATATTTTTTAACCATTTTCAAAAAAAAAAAAATGTAGAACGTAACATATTCTCAATGGCATACTTTGAAATTTACAACGAAACGGTATATAATTTATTGAAATCGCCAAAAAATAGGAAGAAATCAAATGTTAACTTTAACAATCTGGGACCTGAGTAAGTTTTTCAATTAAGAAATAGTATAAAAAAATACTATTAAAAATAATTAACTAAGTCGAAGGAAACACATTATAATGATACATAATAATATATTTGATATAATTTAGTAATGCTGTACGTTTCACGGTCGATAAAAACGGAGACGTTACATTCAAAAACCTGAATATTATAAGGATCAAAAACGTGTCTCAGGCGTTTAAGCAGTTGATATCAGGCAATACTAGACGGCAAGTTTCATCGACCTTCCTTAACCATAAATCAAGCCGATCACACTGCATATGTAGAATTGAGTACGTCAACTGGAGGAAAGGAGAGAAATCGAACAAGACAGTTCTAAATTTGGTGGACTTGGCAGGGTAAATATATTTTAATAGATTCCAACCAAATGGGTTGATTTCAATATCATGTGTTTTTTTTTAGCTCTGAATGCATTTCGAAACTAAACAACGACAAAAAGACTATCGTCGAATCCAAATACATAAATTTATCCCTGATGCATCTGCATCAGGTGATAAATTGCTTGGCCAGTCCAGTCCAGCACACATACGTACCCTATCGAAACTCAGCAATAACACGATTGTTGAAGGGTTCGTTAGGGTACAACTGTTCTACCGCGATGATAACAACCATCATTTTAAACCAGCGTGGTTTAGTAGTACGTTTATTCAATAACGCTCACGAAATGTCTGGTAAATTGATTATAATCTTTGAGTAACTATTTCAGGAATCAACGTCCACCTGAAAATATGCAAGAGACGTTTCCGGCATAAAGCCCATTGTTACGAAACCAATAGTACGGAAAAGAAGATTTGCAAAGAAAGCTGCTAAGAAAGTAAATTTTTGATGCATATAATACATAATATAATAAATAACAAATATTAAATACATTGAAAAAAGACATCAAAATATAATATAATATTAATTAATGAATTTTCTCGATGTGAATACATTATAACTATCAAATTTAAATAATATACTCTCTCGAGACGCCATGGTCGAGAGATTATTAACACGAATAATTCTTGGGGTGCCAGGTCGACTTAAACGGTGATGACGAGGGACATTCTGTGAATTGTGAGCCCCAGACCGTAGTCGTACACAATGACGACTCGGCGGAAGGCATTATTGCTGATAAAGAATCTGGTGAAAATAGCTGTATGGAGCTCGTTCTCGTGAACAAAAATTGTGGTGACCAGATGACCAAGGTGAATTAAAATTAAAACTTAAAAATCAGTTGTTTATCATCATATACGTATTGAAATTATTTCGTTTTTTGAACACATTTTGATTTAAATAATTATCTAGATATATTAGTCCGACGCTCTGCAGACAAAATAATATTTACATGAAAGGTAGACCACACACGCGTGTGGCATGCGTCTACAATCTTCATAAATATTATCGTATACTGTAATAAGTACCAACTGTGTATACTACGTATTTTAGCACGTCAATTCAGTCGCGTTCTTACCCTGATAAAAATAATATTATTAAAATTGGAAAAACTTTAGATGTCATCATATTATTATTATAATTATTGACTTAATTGGAGTAAACTGTCTTGTTGAATAATATAAATAATAATATGATTCTGAAGGACAAAGTTGTATTGTAATAATAATAATAATAATAATAATAATAATAATATGTGTGCCTTTAGCTCAACGATCATGAGTGCCCATCAGAATTGAAAATTCTTTTCATCAGGGCGCCGATGGTTCATGTGATAGGACCACGTCTTATGGAGGCCGGCGATGGACTTAGTGATAATTGGAAGAAAGCGGTGAATTTTAAATTAATTAATTAATGTCTTATCTACTTAAATAATTTCATTTTTATTTTATTTTATTCGAATAATAAATACAAATACATTTAAGAAAAAAACATCAAAATAAATTATAATATAATATTAATTATTCAATTTCCTTGATGAGGATAAATACTACATTATACCTAACTATCAAATTTAAATAATATACTCCCTCGAGACATCAAGATCGAGAGATTGGTAATAATAATAATTCTCGGAGTTTTGCTAGGTTTGCTTAATCAGTAATAACGAGAGACGTTCTGTTTGTGACGACAAACATAGAACAAGTTGTGAAGCCCAAACCGTGATCGTAAACTGCAGCAACATCCTGACAGTCAGCAAGAAATGTGATGAAAATAGCGGTATGGAGATCGCTCTCATAGACGACAAAAATTGCGCTAACCAGACGACCAATGTGAATTTTAAATTAGTTACTTACCATTAGACTTATTAAAATAATTTCATTTTTGAACACATTGTTTTTTGAATAATTATCTATACAGATAAGTCCAACTCAGTAGACAATATAATATTTACATAGATGGTAAGTTAAACATACGTTTGTGGCCATATTGTACCAACAATCTTCATAAATACTATCTATAATATGTTTTAAGTATTTACAGTTTATACGTATTTTAGTACAATTCAAACTCCTCCTTAGACTAATAAAAATAGTATACCTATATGTTGAAAAAAAACATTGGATACATCATATTATATTAACTATCGAATTCATTAAAGTAAATGGTTTTGTCAAATAATATATGATTTGGGATACAAATAATATACTTCTGAAAAATAACAGTGGCTCGTAATAATAATAATAATAATAATTCTTGGGGTTGCTAGGTTGACTTAATCGGCCATAACGTTGGTCATTCTGGTCATGTTCACAATTATGTAACGAGTTCGGAGACCCAGACCGTGATCGTAAACTGCAGCAACGTCCTGACAGTCAGCAAGAAATGTGATGAAAACAGCGGTATGGAGATCGCTCTCATAGACGACAAAAATTGCGCTAAAGAGACGACCAATGTGAGTTTTAAATTAGTTTCTTAGCATTAGACTTATTAAATTAATTTCGTTTTTGAACACATTTTTTTTTCGAATAATTATCTATACAGATAAGTCCAAATCTGTAGACAATATAATATTTACATAGATGGTAAGTTACACATACGTTTGGGGCCATATTGTGCAAACAATCTTCATTAATACTATCTATAATATGTTGTAAGTATTTACAGTTTATACGTATTTTAGTACAATTCAAGCTCCTCCTTAGACTGATAAAAATAGTAATAGTATGTTGAAAAAAAACATTGGATACATCATATTATATTAACTATCGAATTCATTAAAGTAAACGGTTTTGTCAAACAATATATGATTTGGGATACAAATAATATATTTCTGAAAGATAACAGTGGCTCGTAATAATAATAATAATATTATTTCTTGGGGTTGCTAGGTTGACTTAATCGGCCATAACGTTGGTCATTCTGGCAATGTTGACAATTATGTAACGAGTTCGGAGACCCTGCAGGCCGTGGACGTTAACAGAAACCTCAGCATTATGACGGATATACAATATGGCTTAACTAGCAGTAATTACCAAGTTACCAAAGTGGAAACTACTATGGATGATAATATGATCACATTAATGGGTGATAGTAGACGTTGAAGATTCAGAATGAATTTTGCTTACATCAATTACCTTTTGCTTTTTGCAATTATGATGGTTACGTTCACACGGATGTGGACAAATGAATCGAATGTTAACAGCGTGAGATTAAATGGGTAAATTTAATATAAAAATCAATGATGGTTGAATAGCAATAAGTTATGATAAATGGTATATAATAATTGAAAATATTAATTTAAATAAAAAATATATCTTAATTCACTCTCAGACCCATTTGTCTCAAATATAATAAACAACAATAACTTGTCACGCCTCACGCATCAAATGTTTATCTTTGATTAATTTTGTAACTTACAATTTCTTATACCGTGAGGTGTGTAATCCAAAATTGAGGGATTTTAAAAAAATGGTTTGATTTGTTGATATTTTTGAAAAATTGAAAATTAAAATCATATTATTCATTGTTTTGTAGTATTATTGTTCGTTTTGTGTGGATTTAATTCAGAATTTAAAAACCGTGACAAAAGTCAAAACAATATTCATATTACTAAGCTCTAAACAGCCGATATAATTACTTATTAGTAATAAACTCACCGATTCACACGTATTTTCATATTCTTTAAATATTTAAAACGTATAGTTCACTGAGTATTTTTAGTTAACTAAGTTAGGTATGTTCTAGGAAATGAATCTTACGAATATTTTTAATTCTTGTCTCATTTGGTTAATTTACCTGAATTGCATACAAATTTAACTTGCTTTTATAATATTCTATCGTCAGATAGTTACTACATAAATATACAATTTATAATTCTATCGAAATTATTAAGATTATAAACTATTATCATGATATTTTTCTGGTGTCTTTAAAAGTCAATTATGGTGAACGTATTTGTAAAAACACATTTTTTGTGAAGCACAATACCTAAATATAAAGTAATTTCCAAATTTGACAAGTTACTATAAGATATTAATATGTTTAATATATTGTAAATAATTATAAGGTCCTATATAAATCGCCAAACTAAATAGTCATAGTATGACGTGATTAAATAGTCGTAAACGTGTTCTGGAACATTCACGATAATTTTTGACGCTATAAGTAATTCATAATTTTAGAAAACAGAAAATTAGATTAAGTATACGTGTCACTGTCTATATATAATACAATGGAATTTAATAATGTAGCACAATGCAATTGTTGCATGCATGTAGATTATTCGGTATTCTTACATTGTTTTCTCGTGAAAATACATAATATGTAAATACAAATATTTTTTTTAAATTGCATTTGATTTTTTGATTTTATAGTGCCAATGGAAACCCTCAACAGTATTTAAAACATGTTTCGAGCTTGGTAAATTATGTGGCTGATTCGTTAGATACTTTTGGGGGTTCTACAAGACCATACGAAGATGGCGGGAAATCTCAGTGCCATTTGGGAAGCTGTAAACACCATTCAAATCTATATGCTAAGACAGTACAACAAAATGATAAAGTATGTACAAGAGTAATAGTTATTAAAATATACAAAATGTATTATAATATACATTAAAAACACAGTTATTCCAAAATGATCTCATACTATTGAATTTTGTTTGGTCGTATTTATCTGACGAGAGCGAACCTTTACAATAATTTAAATTAATAATGTGTGTGGTCTTTAGATCGAAGACAAAGGATATATTAACATATGCTGCTATGCCGTTATTATAATTATAACTTCATTGATACTTTGGAAACTGAAGTTAGATTCGATTTGTCTCGACGAAACAACAATATGCTGACAACGCAATAAACGACAGGTAAATATTATAATATAATAAATAGCATGACAATCGAAATTCCCTTCAAATAAAAATCAATACACGAATTGTATTTATGCAAATACGTTATTAGACTGAACAGCATAACACCTATGTACACTCTAAAGGTTGAAAATATGTTATCGACACAAAAAATCAATTATTTGGTCCCCTATATTTATTATAACATAATTTCTGATCTAAATATTATTGATATTTTGTTTCTTAAGGCAGCGGATTTTACCCGAATTCAATTTGCTTAATGTCGTATATTGCTGATCTGCATGCTATTATTATATTTTTATAATAATTCATCATTTTGCTAAGTGTTTTTTAAGACACATACCTTTTCTGGTTATAATTAATGTCTTGTAAGGACAGTTTGCCCGACGTTATACGTTACGGTACAGTTATTAATTATAATCATTATCTTGTTCTTTTTTTTTCGTTATAATAATACAATCGTTGAGCATTTCGCCCATAACGTTGGACTATTATACATATTATTTTGTTTTATCAGTACGATAATAATTTTCACACTGTCAGTGACCCTCCTCGAACTTTTCACTTCGCAGCACTCTCCTTGTACCTCGAAATAACATATACGATTAGAATAAATCGACGATCAGTTACGATCGTAAGATGGCCGATGACACGAGTGTGACGACGCAACGTTTCCTCGCTGTGTATGTTGTCTGCATTTCCAATCATTTCAAATTAATAAATGCTGCCTGCTTTGAGTTTTCGTAAAAAAATATCCTGACGTGCACATATTTAATCTATCCATTTTTTTTTTTTATAGTCGCGCTCCTTTTAGGGTAGTAGCTTACAGTACTAGTAGCTTACAGTTATAACATTAAAATGAATAAGGCCCTACAAATTATCTGGGTATATTGTCCGTTTGGACACCGGCATATAATCGTCGGTGAGAGTGTGCTCCACTCCCTCCCCTCCCACAGTTGTTGAATGGATGAAATTTCACGATGGGGAGCCTGAATGACTCAAGACTGAAATGTCCGGCAACAAAACAAAAGTAACCAAGACACGCGCGTGTGTCGAAGGGTGAAGTCACGATTCACGAGAAACTCGAGGGATCTTCTATTTCCCTTAAACGTAATCATGATCTGGTGTACTGTATGTGATAAGACCTTTACCAGGATTGGTAGTCAACACAGACAAGAGAAGAGACACGATGTAAATATCTAATAATAAGATTCAAAAAAATATTCACGTGAAGAGATAATAGACATAGAAAAGATAAACATCGTAAGTGTTTTTTTTCGATTTATATAATTTATAAGATAAAAAAATATATAAGTTTCATCAAGCCCAGGAATATCAAAAGGCCATCATTTTTAATCTTAACAATAAAACAAATATGTATTATACTACATATTATACAATCTATAATCAAATTTAAAATACCCGTGGTCAAGCGTATGTAGTTAATCGGCCTGCATATAGCTTATACCTTATCATCTTGTCAGGTGAAGCATATTTTTTGGCCTTGGGTATTCGTGACTTTTTCCAGAACCCTTCAGAGATACCTTTCTCGTCATCGGCGAAGGGCAATTTAAATGATATTTGAAAGTCGCGTGTTATTAACTACATTTATTCAGACTCTTTTTGTCTTAATTTCCTGTGTGTGTGTGTGTGTGTGTGTGTGTGTGTGTGTGTGTGTATGTGTGTGTGTGAATGTATGGGTGTATAATAATATGCATGCCTGGGCAATTGTAATTAACGTAATTTTTTTCATTTAATTTCCATAACTTTAATTCTTAACTTTTTAAAATTTAATTTTAATTTACTCCATTTTAAACTTAACCAAATTCACGTTACGTTAGATTATAAATAATTTAATAATGAATTCAATCAACTTTTTATTAATCATCCTTTTTTTCTTTTATTAATCGTTCATTCATTTATAAATATTCACTTTTTATTATTATAAACAAAAATAATGGTTATTTATTTATTTAAAATACAAATAAATTTCTTTAATTAAGTAAGTATGTTAACTGTGGGTTTCCATATATTTTCTAACTTAACTGGGTATAACTAATTGGGATAACAATTAACTTTAAACTTTTAAATTTGTTTTCTATCAAACTTAACGCAACTAAAAATTACCATTAACTTGCTCAGGCTTGCATATTATACGCATATATGTATGTATGTATAAAAGAATGTCTGTATGTATGAATGTGTGTATGTATGTATGTATGTATGTATGTATTTGTGTATGTGTGTAAGTATGTATGAGTGTATATAAGTATGAATGGATGTATGTATGATAGGATATGTGAAAAATTGTATATATGTAAGTCTGTACGGAAGTATGAAAATATGCATGCCTGGGCAAATTTCATTGCCATAATTATTAATTTAACTTTTTAAAATTGTCATTTTAATTAATGCAATTTTATACATTTAAAATTTAATTTTCATTTACTTAGTTTTAAACTGATTAATGTTACGTTTAACTATATATAATTAATAAATGTCAGCATAAGTTAGTATGTTAATTATTGGTCACTTTATGCTTTTTAACTTAACTGGGGATAACTAATTAGGATAACAATTAATTTTAAACTTTTAAATATGATTTTTATCAACTTAACGAAATTAAAATTATTATTTACATACCCAGGCTTGTATATTATATTATTGTATGTATGTTTAAAAGGATGTCTGTATCTATGTATGTATGTATGTATGTCTGTATGTATGAATGAATGAATGTATGTCTGTATGCATGAATGGATGGATGTATGTAGAAATCTATCTAGGAAAAAATTAAGACAAAAAGCGTCAGAAGACGTGTAGATAAAAACCATAAGATTTTCAAAGATCATTTAAATTGCCCTTCGCCGATGACGAGAAAGGTATCTCTGAAGGGTTCTGGAAAAAGTCTTCGAAGACAGTTGTCTTGAAAAACACCCATTACTAGGGAAACTGTCTTCGAAGCCACGAACACCCAAGGCTAAGAATTATGCCTCACCTGACAAGATTATAAGCTTTACGCAGGCCGATTGACTACATTAAAGTGATCAAGAGTACTTTAAATTTGATTATGAATTGTATATAAAGGTCCCCACACACTGCCGCGGTGGCGTTGGTTGTGGCGGTGGCGGTGGCGGTAAAATGAGTCCGGACACAATTCACCGCCACCATGGCGGCACCGCCGAGACAAAAGAATTTTACCACCACCGCTGCAGTGTGTGGGGACCTTAATATGTAGTATAATACATATTTGTTTTAATGTAATGATTAAAAATGATAGCCTTTGTTATTGTCAGCCTTGATGAAACAAGCAAATTTTTTTATCTCATAAATCTATGTATAGGGGAAAAAATACTTACGAGGATTTTCTTTTCTATGTCTATTATCTCTTCACGTGAATATTTTTTTTAATCCTATTAAGACATCTGATAAATACATCGTGTCTCTTTTCATGTATAATATGTAGACCTTGGATCCTGGAAAAAGGTCTTATTACATTCATTATACCACATCATGATTACATCTAAGGGATATTAAAGATCCCTTGTCTAACTCTCGAAACATAACTTTACACTTCGACAAACCTTTGGAGACCAGGGTGAGTCTCCAAAGGTGTGTCGAAGTGTAAAGTTATGTTTCGAGAGTAAGACAAGTGTTCTTCAGATGTCTTTAACGCAATCATGGTCTGGTGTAGACAGTCCCGAGAATCAAGCTTCCAAGAGATGCGATGCATCAGTCTAAGGAGATTCCAAAAACTATTCAAGTGAAGATATAGAAATGTAAAAATAAGCTAATTTTCTCACTGTATATTGACTTATTAGAGAAAAAAATATATACATATTGAGTGAAGGGTAAGAATGTCAAAGGCTGTCATTTTTAATTATTACAATAAAACAAATATATACTATACTACATAGCTTACAATTTATAACCAAATTTCAAGTACTCTTGGTCATTTTAGAGTAGTCAATCGGCCTGTGTATAATTTATCATCTTGTGTGGTGAAGCATAAATTTCGGCCTTGGGTGTTTGTGTTTTCGAAGACTTTTTCCAGAACACTTAAGAGCTATCTTTCTCGTCATCGGCGAGGGGCAATTTAAACGATCTTTGAAAGTATGATTTTTAACTACATTTATTCAGACGCCTTTTGTCTTTATTTTTTCGCTATATGTATGGGTGTGTGCGTGAATGGATTGATGAATGTGTAGATGCATTAAAATATGCATGCCTGGGCAATTTTCATTACCATAATTCTTAACTTAACTTCTTTTACTTTCATGTTAATTAACATTTAATATTGAAATTAAAATGTATTTATTTATATTTATTTAATATTTAATATTTTAACATTTTTCATTTATTTTAACTTTTTAAAATTTCATTTTCATTTCCAAAATTTTTAAGTTTTTAAATATAATTTTCATAAACAATTTTTAACTTTTTAAAATTTCATCATCATTAAATTCAGACTTTTTAAATTTTAATTTCTTTAACATAATTTTGTAACTTATATAAGTTTTTTAATTTAAAAAATATATCTTTACTTAAGTTAGTATGTTGATTGTAGGTTACTGTATACTATTTAACTTAGCTGAGGATAACTAATTAGGATAAAAATTAACTTTAAACTTTTAAATATGTTTTTTATTAACTTGACGAAATTAAAATTATTATTAATTTGCCCAGGCTT